TGTTAGCTCAACCCTAGGTTTTGATTTCATCACGATTTAAGAGTTGTCGTCATCGCCTGGCATCGTGAAGAAGAGATCGATGACAGGGTAGTTTTAGAAATTTGTAGCGGAATCGAAAAAAAAACACAAGATCGAAACTCTAAACCTTGGAGTAGTTAAGTTTAGGGCTCTGATACCATGTCAAAAAACCTTAGAGGTTGTAAAAGGTTTTTTTGTATATTAAGTTGTGAGGTAATAGACCTTATATAGTGATTACATCATGACCTAAGTGTAGTGCTAAGTCTATGATTACAATGGGCCTATTATAGGGCATAATAATCCTCAGTATATATTTTAAGTAATTTAATTAATAAAAGTTGCTTACACCGTTACGTTTATGATCACTTTCACCCTCCAAATATATAAGAAAGCTTTATGATTTTTTAAGAAAGTCCCCGTGTTATGAATTTGAATTTGAAAAACGATGAACTTGCAAAATGTTAGAAAATTTTAGGAAAAGCTTTTGAGGAAAATATCATTTTCTAGGATTTGTTTTTCATTTATTGTATGAATTAATTTTTTTTTTTTTGACATCAAATGGATCGGAGGTTATATTACTTAACTATCCAACAAAATTTACAATTGAGGAAAAAGACCTAGCTAAACGGGCTAAATGGTCGTAAGAACGTTTTGACAAAGCACTCCATTGCGCAACCTCTAGCTCCGCATGGAAGGGAAAAAGTTTTTGTGTCTAGTTTTTGGCCCCCTGAAGGTTGATCTCTCCACCTGAGCCGTACATACTCCAACCTAATCCATTGTTTGGATGTCGAGAACCACGATCCATCTACAAGGCATATGTGTCTCAACCTAATGGGAGGGAGTTTGGTCTAGAATTTGCCTCAAACCATGTGAAGCATTCCGCTTTGTTTACTAACCGTAAAGATCCCTTTATATGAATTAATGTTTACAACACGTAAAGATCCCTTAATATAGATTTCTAACTGATTTTTGTTAGTTCATGCGATTTTTTTTTAAATTGGCATGATAGAACCCAATATATTACTTCTTCGAATGCATGAACTACCATTAAAAATGACGTTGTCACTGTTTCTTTTAGAATTTACGAGGAACAGTTCATGGTTTAAACTTAGAGGCTTCATGTCTCGCAAGTTCAGGTGGGATCGGACTATTAGATTCAACAAGCTTCTGCTTCAGACTGTAAAACATATTTGTATCCTCGAGAGTTAAGAAAGAACGTTGTCGCAACACCTCTCTTCCCTGCACGCCCTTTTCTTCCAATCCGATGGGTATAAATCTCAATCTCATTAGGCATATCATAGTTGATAACATGTGCAACGTGAGGTACATCGATCCCACAGGCCATAACATTTGTTACAACGAGAATGTTGAATCTCTTACTTCGAAATCCTTCTAAACTGATTTTTCTCAGTTCTTGCGACTTCCCTCCGTGGAATGTTGTCACGCGAAACCTTGCTAACATTTCTAGATTCTTAACAATGGAATCCGCTTTATTCTGTGTATTCGCAAACACAATCGATGTCTTATCATCACCAAGCTCATCAATCAGTTTCTTTAACTTGGAGAACTTTTCTGATTCTTTGATCATGATCACTTGTTGAGAAACTGAATCCGTGACCTTTTCTGCATTACCAATGGTAACAACAACTGGATTCCTCAAGTATTTTTTAGCGAGCTTCTCTACACCGCAAGGCATTGTGGCACTAAACATATCATAGTTCTATAAATTTTCATTTCATCGAGCTCTTCATCTTCGTTCTCGGGTTTTAAATTACTCGAAGGCATTGCATCTAACACTCCTACAACTTGTGGCTCAAAACCCATGTCTATCATCCTATCAGCTTTATCAAGAACCACATAGTTACATTGGTTCGTTCAACACAATGTACCGTCTCTCAATACAATCGAGCAATCGACCAGGCGTGGCAATCACAATCTCGCATCCTTGCGATAACTTCAACCCTTGTTTCTCAATCGACTCCCCGCCAATAACAGAGGTCACTCTAAAACCCAAATAACGCGCAAACTTAACAGTCTCGTCTTCAATCAGTAGCGCAAGCTCTCTTGTAGGTACCATAACTAAAAGCATAAGGACCTTCCATATGATTCTCTTCACTCATTGGTGGTAATCTAGATATATAAGCTAGCATTGGCAATAAAAAAGCAACGGTTTTGCCAGAACCAGTCTCTGCGATACCGATAACGTCTCGCTGTTGAAGTCCAAGAGGTATACCTGCCATTTGAATAGGCCTAGGTTCCTTGTAACCAGCTCTCTCCACAGCTTTCAATAACTCAGAACTAAGCTAACTTTCTTCCCAATTCCTCATAGGAAGAGGAATCTTGGTTCCTTTGAAAGAAATGTTGAAATCTTCCTTGAAAATTCTCCAATCTCTTTCATTCATCTCCTTTAACTTCTTCTCTTTCCAATGTTTATCTACATTCATGTACTTAGCTCTCTGTTCATGGTGATCCATACCTGCACGAAACCCTCTACCAAACAGAAGCTGAGCTTCATGAACATTCATATCTTCTCCTTTCGAAGTATCTTCAGATTTCTCCCTATCGAAAGAAAAACAGAATTTCTCGCTTGGTTTGATGATGACTCTCTTCTTAGGCTTTGTAGTTCCTAGGTATTGCTCTTTCATGGCGATTAGATCCTTCTCAATCTCTACCTTCGCTAATTTCTCATCACAAAATTCACGATCTCTGTCTTGGTTACGCTCGTGTCTTCGATACCGTTTTCGGTACTGATCTCGATCGACATTAACAGTCTCGGGGATGGATCGAGTTTTCTGAACGAGGCGACAACGATTGATCGGCGATTTCATCGTGGCGGCGATTTAGGGCAAATTCTTCGCGGTGAGATTTGGTGAAGAAGACGAATTTCATAAGAACGGTGGAGTTGAGATCCTTCGTCGTCGAATTTCATAAGAACGGTGGAGTCAAAATAAAGAAGTACGAAACT